CAGCTCACTTCCTAGGTCCCTGTCTAGTTTCTTGGAGCTCAAAGAAACAAAATTCAGTTGCTCTTTCAACAGCCGAAGCTGAGTATGTAGCAGCCGCATCTTGTTGCTCTCAATCATTGTGGATCATGCAACAAGTAAGCGATTACGGGGTTGATTTAAAGTGCACGCCAATCCTATGCGATAATACAAGTGCAATTAGCATATCAAAGGACCCGGTCATGCATTCTCGGACAAAACATATTCATATACGACATCACTTTCTGAGAGATTGTGTGGAAAAGGGACTAGTCAGGCTCGAGTATTGCAACACCGACAAGCAAATTGCCGACATTTTTACAAAGCCCCTGGGAAGAGAAAGGTTTGAAATAATTAGACTGGAACTCGGTCTAATTAATTCTTAACTTATTCGTTCTACTTCTTATTTCCTAATTTCAGTTACTAATCTCTTTTTCTGATCGCGGAGAGGGCATGTAGGACCTTCCGACATCTTCTAAGGGGGAACAATTAAATGTCTTGATTTGGGAAATATTTTGATTCCTTTTGTTGAATGACAAAAGGGGGAAATAATCAGGAAAGGCACCTATGGTTTGTCATCAACAAAAAGGGGGAATTTGTTGAACATGTTGTTTTGTTGATGACTAACCATGCAGGAACAATAGATAGACCTGGTCCTTAAAATATATGTGGCTAACCCATGCAGAGATCAGAACTAGAACTTCTCCTGGTTCTATTTGAGGCTTTATTTAAATGATTATTTGAATTCTATGTTAGGCAACGTTATTCGAACTTGACCTGCATGACATTATTACCTTTTGGGATTTAGTAGTATCCGTAGCATAATTTGATATCACTAATGGAAAGAATTTTCAAATGATCCACTCCAAAGAAGGAAGGAAATTATTATGAAAGCTTCCATTTACCAAAAGTTGACCAAAAGCTTCCTTTGGTAAATTTGTTCCGTATTTGGTGATAATCTTTTTGTATGACCGTTGCTTTTCTTCCTTATATGATAATTCGTATATAATGAACAAATCCACTCTTGATTGAGACCGAGTTGGAAAGATCCATTGGAAGAACTATCAAGGAAAGTGCATTAAATAATCAAGCAACCAACTAAGGAAAGAGGAGCCAACGGTTGTCTCAAGAGGAGCTATATATTCTGAACTAAAGGTGATTCGCAGTAGTGCTGAACGGAGAAAAATATTTAGCAGAATCATTCAAGAAAAGAATCAAGTCCTTGGCGCCTGAAACTGCCCGCTCGGAGTTCTAGATAGAGTTTTTCCTTTCCCTTTCATATTGTACTTGGAATATTGAGGCTTAATTGGCTAGAGTAGCTGCCTCGGGTTAAGTGTGTGTGAGAGCTTTGTGATAAAGCTGAGAGGCTCTCTACCCGCAAGGTAGAGATGCATAACTCTTCCTAGAGAGGATAGAGTTGGGGAGGCTCAAGGGTAGATTAGGAGAATCACTCTTGTAACTCTTTCAAAGGCTTGTTTAGTGAAGTTGTTTAAAATTCCTCCGAGGGAGGTCGAGGTTTTTCAATCCCTTTGAGCCAAGGGATTTTTCCTCGTTAAATTCTTGTGCACTTTACTATTTCGCAATTCCCTTTATCCCACACTAGAACTCGGAAAAAACTGCCACGGTTCCACACACACACAATTCACCCCCCCTCTTGTGTTGCTAACCGTTTTCATCAACAATCATACATTTCAACTTTATTCTCACTTTCTTAAACTTCGATCCAAGTCAATGCGAGAACTATTTTATGGGACAGAGGGAGTATTTTTTGCTCAATTGTTTTGTGTATGTTCCTCATCAAGTCTAGTTCATCCATACCAAATTTGAGCAAAAAATTCAATCGGGAAGGCCGACAAATGATTTTTGCAAGTTAACTTGTCCGGAATATACATATAAAACGCAGTTAACTTGCAAAAAATCATTTGACGGCATTCCTGATTGAATTTTTTGCTCAAATTCGGTAAGGATGAACTAGACTTGACGAGGAACATACAAAAAATATTTGAGCAAAAATACCACCGGGAAGACCCCCAAAAGGAGGAGACCGGACTGGGCTCCTGTCCGGAATTTCCGGACAGGAATATTCCTGTGTGTGTATATAAATATATTGATGTGTGTGTGTATATATATATATATACACTAATAAGAAATGTTTATAATTTTAATTATTATATATAACGGTTCCTTAACGGTTCCATGTACATATTTTTTTCAGGAACCGAGAACCGAACCGTTAATAAAAAATAGGAACCGAACCGTTAACAAATAACTAAAAAAAATTGGAACCGAACCGAACTGGGTCTTGGTTCCAAAATCCCAGCCCTAGTGTTCGTCGGTTCGGTTTTGTCGGTTTCGGTTTTATTAGTTCGGTTTTAGTCGGTTTCGATTTTTAGTTGGTCGGTTTTGATCAGTTTCGGTTTTTAGTCGGTCGATTTTAGCGACTTTAAAAATAGATGAAACCGAGAATCGGACCGCAAAAATTGAGCCAATTTTGGTCAATTCGTATCGTTTCCTATCGATTTTTGCCAGTTTTTGCCGGTTTATTTTTGTTTGACCGATTTTTAAGCCAAAAGTACAAACCGTAAACCGAATAACCGATTATTTAGTCACTTTTGTTCGATTTCGGTTTTATCGGTTCAGTTTTGATTGGTTTCGGTTTTGGTCGGTTTCGGTTTTGATCGGTCGGTTTGGCGGTCGGTTTCGGTTTTTCAGTTTTTTTGTTCACCCCTACTCCTAATTTATGCATTAAACATTAAATAGGAGTTGTAGTAGGATTATTATTATTATTATTATTATTATTATTATTATTATTGATAGAGTATATGGACTTGGAACCCAGGGTCTCACGACAATTGGGCCTGGACAGCGGCCCATACACGCTTCACCGATATCATTTATATTATTGTATAGTCCAATTTGTATTTGTATCCACTAGATTAGCCTTTTTTATATCAGTCCATTTATGTAACCGGGTCTGTCGGGCCCATATCAGAGGCCTAGATCCGGATTTCCCTATTTATACTCCTCTTGGAGCTTCTTGTAACCCTAAGTCATAATTCCACAATTCAATACTATTCATCTTCTTCCTCACCTCTCTTGCTCAAATCTCTCCTAATTATGTATGTTTGGATCCCTATAATCCATCATTTGGTGCTTTCATTGAGAGTTTGAGCAAAAATCAAGTGAGAAATACTCCCAAAAAACAACAAAAATATCCATAGCTCATCATTCACGGAAGAAATCAAGCAAAAACAATTCTGGCAAATTTAGCAAAACAGTTCTTGAATTTTCATCATCATCATCATCATCATCATCATCATCATCATCATCATCATCATCATCATCATCATCATCATCATCATCATCATCATCATCATCATCATCATCATCATCATCATCATCATCATCGTCATCATCATCGTCGTCGTCGTCGTCGTCGTCGTCATCGTCATTGTTATTATTATTATTATTATTATTATTATTATTGATATTGATATTATTTTTGACACCACCATTATGACGGGTTAAAATCCTCCGAGGTGGTGAAGACCATTATTAGCGGGTTAAAATCCTTCAAGGTAGTACGAGCCGAGCTCTAATCTATCCAACATCTTTATTTGATGATTCAGATTCAAAGCGGGCCCCTCGACTGATCCCCGATCACCTTGATTTGATAACCGTGGTGCATCCAAAAGCCCCCAAACTGGTGCGAACCTAGCTCCAATCTCCTAAACATCTTTATTTGATGATCCAGTTTTTATGTGGGTCTCTTGACCCGCCTCCGGTCATTTTTATTTAATGTCCGGAGCTCCCAAAAACCGTTGCAACGACAATGTAAATCGAGTGTCGCTATCGGCCGCACATAAACGGTGAACGATACACCTCGGTCGAAAACTCAAGTGTGTCACCTCGGCCCCCACGGATACAATCTTGGGAAATGCGGCCAATGACCACTTAATTTGGAACCTAAGGCCCGTGAAATGGCCGAAGGTCCAAAAGGATCGAGACCCCCCCCCCCCCACGATTTTAATTCGGGAAAGTGCAACAAGACTCCAAACACTAAAGGTGATTCTGAGGGGTTCTAAAGCACTCACCGAAAGCTCGACCCCGAATAGCCCCAGAGGCCGGGGACTTGATAACATAAGTCACAATTCATTTACTCAATACAAAACATTACTATTCATCATGTTCTTATTATTATTCTTCTTCTCTTTAGCTCAAATCTCTCCATTTTAAACTATGAAAGGTACATGATCCCAATGATGAAAAACTATCAATCTAAGACCCGAATGATTGAAAACTATCAATATAAGACCTAACTTTTCATAAATTTATTTATTTTTCATTTTAAAAAAATTAAATATTATTTTGTTTTATTAAAGTAATAAACTTTTGTGAAGAAAAAGTCATCAAATATTAGCTAAAGAATTAATAAAAAATTAAATAATCAAAACCCATGAAATGTTAGGTCCTACATTTCATATTTCAGGTTCCGGATTGATAATTCTTATATCTTTCGGGTCCCGGTTCGATAAAATTCCGAGAAAAAATGATACGTGAGATCGTTTTGAGAATATTGTGAATGTATGATTGATTGTTTATTGTTTTAAAAAGAAAAGAAAAGAAAATAGCTGAAATTACAGGTCATGAACCGGTCGGAGAATTATGAAAGAGGATGAGGTGCAAAATCAGGAATATTGGTTTGCATTTTTCTTAACATATATTACTAAATAAACTATTAATAATTACTCCCTCCGTCCCATTTATATTGTCCCGGAAGAGGGTGGCACGGTTATTAAGAAAAGTGGGTTTGTGTGGTTGATATTAATTGATAAAGTAAGAATAAAGTAAGAATGATTTAGAGCCCCACAAACTTTGCCAAATATGGTATGGGACAATATAAGTGGGACTTCCCGAAAAGGTAAAACGGGACAAAATAAATGGGACGGAGGGAGTAATACTCACATCAGACACATCTCATATACCTTTTCTTGTAAGAGAGGCAAGGCTCCTGCCAACATTCCACCCTAAATTGTTTACAGACAAAACAACAGCAACAAAAGCCCCAAATTAAATCACAATTAAGCTGGAGAAAGTTTTTTAAAATTTCATATAAACCCAAAAAACGTAATAATATATAAAGCTGGCCTCATCATCTAGTCTAGAGAAGTAAATGAAAAGTTGTGCACCAGTGGACGCTAAGAAATTTGACGGAAATGAAGGGACTAACCTGGGAGAAACCAAGAAGACCATCAAAAGGTCCATATTTGATCATGCAGTCTTCTATATATGCAATACATTCACTCATTTTCTGGGGTGTTTGTGTCATTTCCTGATATCAATTTTTATATTTTAAATTATGAATTAAAATGTTGCTTTACGAAGAACAAAATTAGTTAGGTTGATCAATTTTCTGTTAGTACTTCCGTTTCATAGGTTCCCAAACATTAGAACGTGATGGGGTTATTAAGAGAAAATGAATTTATGTGGTTAATATTGAATTACTCCAATATACTAAAAATAAAGTAAAATTAATGTAAATGTTCCCAAACTTTATTAAATTGAATATGAGAAAATCTTAATGGGCTAAACTGAAAAGAAAAATATGGAACAAAACATGGGGTATAGAAAAGACCTTATTGGTATGGTACCATTCATAATAAGGAGGGTCGTAAATCCCATCGACGTCGGATTTGCCCAGAAATGGAAAAGGGGCATCTACAAAGACAAGATCCAGTTTATCCAGGACGACTGAATCCCATTTACGGACCAATTCTTCCTTGAGAATATCTGCACTAGTTCCCATACCATGAAGGCAAAAAAATCTGGGTTTCCTCCACTCATGAATGCTTCCCATTCTCTTGAAGAAAAAGATCTAGAGAGTCGCGTTCTTCTATGTTTTTTATGTTGGGGAAGACATTTTAGTGTACCATTACCATACACACTCTTTTGTATTTATAGTGAGGGTTTTATTCATTTTTTTTTCTTTGTTCCAAAAGGTGGAGTCTCCCACCCCAGTCCCCAGGAGCCCCCACACCCCATAGAATAGTGGAGGAGTAAGTCACGATGATTCAGTCGGCTCAATGATGGTATGTCTTATACCCGTGCGCACTAGAGATTCAGCCCAGAACGCAGGAGCTGTAACCTCCACACGACCGCCTGCGGGTTTCGATTCTTGGTCATTATTCCAAATTTCCCACCACTGGACCAACTAAGCTACCCGTGCGAGTCTTTTTTCTTTTGTAAAGGTTGTACTGTATTATATATGGATTGTTGTAGATTTTTTAATTTTTTCTGCTGACTTTTAATAAAAATAGTACACTTCTAAATTTATAGACTTTCTTTAATAAATTTGTTGATTTATATCAATTTATAGATTTCATATGAATGGTATTTATCAATCAATTTTATAGGAAATAGAAGTTTAAACAAGAGCAATGATAACTACTAGTAATATTTATAAGTCAAGAATTATTGGAGGTCGAGCAAGTACATTATTACACAAAATGAGAAACAAGCACAACAAATGTAATTCGTAATGAAAAGTTCTCTAAGAAATGGAAAAAATAATAAAATACTCCAAACTTTGAAGAGGTGTGAGATGAGCACCCCAAACTTCCATACGTAATTTAAATACCCCAAACTTTATATAAAAAGCTATTTTCGCACCATTGTCATGTATTATTTCTTTCAAAAATGTAAATTTATGGGGTTAATTGTATAATTTAAAATAACAAATTAAAAGTGTTGCAATTATATAGATTGGGGGTAAAAATTTTAATTTCGGAATGGAAGTTTAGAATGTTAATTGTGTCTTCATGAATTCTAAAATATTTTAAATTATGCAATTAACACCATAAAATCACATTTTTGAAAGAAATAATACTTGACTATGATGTTAAAATAACTTTTTATATAATGTTTGAGATATTTAAATTACATATGCAAGTTTGGGGTGCTTATCACACACCCCTTTAAAGTTTGGGGTATTTTAATCTTTTACTCCTAAGAAAAAGTGAGGTTTAAGGATCCAATGTTATTCTTTATTAAGAAATCAATATTGGTAATATTGGTTTTTAGTGGTTATTTGATTTTAAATCTTGTTAAGATTTGTTTACTATTTCACAGTTCAATACTTATTAGTTTGATATACTATAGTTTTATGTGTTAACGATGAAACACGACAATAATTAAATATATTATTTTTTGTTTATGATCGATTAACAGGTAACAGAAAAAATATGCACCACTACTATAATATCGGGTACATATATTGACTTTCAAAAAAAATTAGGACCAAATTGAATTAACGATCAATCAAATGGGTCCTAATTTTCTTTTAAAGGACCAAACCAATCTCACGGTTACTTTTTCTTCATAAGATTATAAATTAAAAGTCACGTTTTTAAATTTTGTTTAACTTTATCTTTTGTATCAGTATGATGTTCAACGGTTCATGATCTGGAATAAATAAATGGTCAATTCTGAACTGATGTTGGAATCGGGTCTCTTTGTACGTGTGATGAGTAGGGAACGAAATAAAAAATCTACAAACAACGAGTTAAGAGTTCACAACAATTAGGACATATTTACTTCACCGGTTATTAAACGGTGCTTATTAAGACCCGTGTTAATAAGCGGCGCATAAAATAAACAATGTTGTAAGACCGTGTTTACTTCAAACGGTTTAAAACACCGCTTAACATTAAAATGTCCAAAATAACCCTATACATATATACACACAAACATTCATGAACACAAGTATATAATATAATATGTGTACCCATACCCCTAACCCCTTACCCACCCTACCTTACCCCGACCCCACCCACCGCCTGCCCCTACCCCCTACTTACCTGACCCCACCCTACCTACCCGACCCTACCCCACCCTAACATGTCCCCACCCTACCGCAACCCTACCCCCGACCCCATAGGCCCTTACCACATCGACCCCACCCCGACCCCACCTTACCCTACCTTACCCCAACCCCGCCCCTACCCCTACCCTTACCCTACCCAACCCACCCCTACCCCACCACACCTACCCTGCCCCTAGCGCCTCTATCACATCGGCCCCACCCTGACCCCACCACCCTAGGTATAGTGGGGTAAGGGGTGGGGTAAGGGGTATAAGGTGGGGTGATTGAGGTCAGGTAGTGGTAGGGTGGGTTCGGGTAGGTAGGGTAGGGGTGGCCGGGTGGGGTTGGGTAGGTAGGGTAGTGGTAGGGTGGGTTCGGGTAGGTAGGGTGGGGGTTGAGGCGGGGTAGGGGTAGGGTAGGGTGGGGTCGGGGTATGTGGGTAAGGGGTGGGGTAGGTAGGGTAAGGGTAGGTGTGTGGTCGGGTAAGTAGGGTAGGGGTGGGTTTGGGTAGGTAGGGTAGTGGTAGGGTGGGGTCGGGTAGGGGTAGGATGGGTAGGGTTGGGTTGGGTCAGGGTAGGGTAAGGTGGGGTCGGGTAGGGGTGGGGTCGGGGTAAGGGTAGTGTAGGTGGGGTAGGGTAGGGGGTAGGGTAGGGGTGGGGGTCGGACAAGTAAGGTAGGGGTAGGGTGGGGTCGGGGTAGTGGTAGGGGGGTCGGGTAGGGTCGGGGTAGGTAAGGGTAGGGTAGGGGTGGGGTAGGAAGGGTGGGGTCGGGGTGGGGTCAGGGTAGGTGGGGTAAGGGTAGGGTGGGGTCGGGGTAGGGTGGGGTCGGGGTAGGTGGGGTTGGGGTCGAGGTGGGGCAGAGATAACAATAGGTTAAGGGCAAGTGGTAAATTCAGAAACTGAAAAAGCTTAAAGTGCCGCTTAATTAATACATGGGGGGTGGTATGTTTAATAAGCGGCACTTTAAGCACATCTTTCGGTTAGTAAGCGGCTTTTTAAGCAGTGTGCGTGTTTACTTCACCTGTCTTACTAACCTAACTGTGACTTTAGCAGTGAAGTAAACACCTCCTTACTGTTTGTGAACACATTAAATTCAATTAACGTGTCAATACATTTAGACTCTTCTATTCATTAAATTCAATGCACCTAACTAAGCTTTTAAAATTCATACACATTAAAAAATGTCACTATTTTTGCTTTTATACATCCCTAACCATCTCTAATTTGCATTAAAATGATCAAAATACCAACCATTTCAACATCAACCATTCACATCATTTTTATCACTCAAAATAAAAACGTGATGAAAGAACAGAGCTTCCAAAATGACACCAAAACGGCAGCCCTGCCAAAACAATAGTGTACGGAACAATGCCCTTCTTTTACTGCTGCTTTGGCCTTTGTATCTTTTAGGTTTTGTATTCCATTATATATTATTATATTTAGTTCCCCTTTGGAAAAATATTTTTTTTGGTTATCATGCTATGTTTTATTTTCTTTTTATATTTTAAATATCCCGTGTGTGAATAGCCTTATATATTTAAAGTGATACGGAGTATGGCACAGAATTATGAAAACAAACGGTTCATTTTTTAGAAATTGCTCAATATATATTCAAAACATAAGTAAATGCAAAAATAGGATTACAAATGTTTTAATGTATTCTCCAAATGGGATCTTTTTTAAAATTCAATAAAACTTCCCCAAATTAGGAGGGAATGAGAATGAAAGAATGATAGTCTAATTTATGAACATTATCATTGTATCCTTCATGCTTAATTATCAGCTTTCATAAGCTAATAGCTATGAGTATGGGGCATTCGAACTCAATAATACAATAATAAAATGAAACGTAACTGGAATTGCAAAATAAAAAATAAAAAATAGATTGAGCGATTAGTTGACAGTCACATCTAAGCCCATCTATAATTTGCATTCAAATGGTTAAAAAACAACCATTTCAATATCAACCATTCATATAGCTTTCATCACTTAAATACAATGTTTTTCCAAACAAATAGCTCTCATCGTGTACGCAATGCATTTAAACAATGCCCTCCTGATCATGGCGGATATAGGAATGTTACGGTGTAGTGACGGCAAATGGCAACCAAAATGGTTCCATATAGCCAATATATAGGAATGCTAGTCGTCTTTATGGTTTGATTTTCCACATCAGTATAATTTTTACCAAAGTCATCATTTTTAATGTAGTGTAAAGTGTTAGAGATTGTATATCAAGCTCTATGCGCATATCCAAAATTTTTGGTCCGTTTTTTGACAAACAAGTTTTCCGTATAATTCCGTACAGATGGGCCGTACAGTTGGGCCGTACGGATTTTTTTTCTTTATTTATGGCCGAGCCTCCTAGTTGGTTTAAGGGTAGGTTTTACTCTCTATAAATACAAGTTGTCCCCCTTTGTAATCCCTTGGATCCGAAAATAGCAATAATATTCCTGGCTTGGTAGCGCCCCCAGACGTAGTTATTCGTGGCGAACTGGGTTACCAAAATTCATGTGTTCTTTAATTATTCTTCGTGTGCGTGAGTTTAATTCCTAACATGTAGAAAATACGTACTTCAATGGTTAGCTGCAACATTCCTCTTAATTTCTAACTAAAAATATTGCATTAATAATTATCTTTCCTCAGAGCTAGTAGCTCATTTTTCCTAATTAGTTTTCTTGATTTTGTGTGTGTATATGCATGTTCAAACATAGGCTTGTTGGTTACTATCACGGGCACCCGGGCGGATCTTAGTAGAGACCTGGGTGTGAAAGTAATGGAAAGGCATACCTAATGTGGTAGCCTAGATGTCATATATATAATAATAAGAGTTCTGAGTACATTAGGAAACAAATAAATATGGAAACCTAATTAAAGTATTAATTACACTATTACACCCCCTCAAGCTGTGCAGGGGAAACAATGCGCAGATTGTCCCTAAGAAAAATAAAACGCTGTGGAGATAGACTCTTAGTCAAAATATCTGCTAGCTGAAACTGTGTAGGAACATGACGAACAACCAGATCTCCATGAGAAACTCGCTCACGGACAAAATGATAATCAATGTTAATAT